GGTCTTGGGGACGAAGACCATGTCGCGCTCCATGTGGCCGGTGGCCTTGTGGTGCTTGCCGTGGGAGATCTTCCAGGAGAAGTAGGGAACGAGGAGGAGAGAGTGGCAGACCCAGCCGACAGTGTCGTTGAGCACCTTGGAGGGCGAGAAGGCCTGGTGGCCGCACTCGTGGGCAAGAATCCACAGACCAGTGCCGAAGAAGCCCTGGAGGACAGTGTATAGGGCCCAGAGACCAGCGCGGAGGGGCATGTTGGGGACCGTCTCGGGAGTCACGTAGTTGTGGAACACGTAGAAGGTAGCGGCGAGCGAGGCGAGGTCGCGGGCGACGTAGCCCAGACCACGGATGGCAGAGCGCTCGAAGCAGTGCTTGGGGATGGCATCGCGCAGCTGCTTGATGGTGTAGTCGGGGATCTCGAACTCGTTGCCGTAGGTGTCGAGGAGCTTGCCGGTAGCCTTCTTAGAGTGCTGGGGCTGCTCGTCCATCGAGGACAGCGACGTGTTGGAGGCTGAGCCGGCTGGCGAGTCGAAGGGTGAGGCCGAGACTGAGTTGGCAGTCGAATCGGCCGTCATATTTCTCTTCAGCACAGGCTGCTGGGCGCGGGCAGTCGAGGTTGCCATGGTGGGAGAGGTTGTGGTGTGGTGGTGGAGGGGAAAGAGGGTTGGCGGTGGGGAGCAAGCCTGAGCAGTTGCAGCACCAGAGGGCTATCAACTGTTGAGATGCAGGGCAGGCTGCGAATTGGAGGGTGTGCCGGGACTGGCAGGTGGATGAATGTCTGTACGACTTTCAGAGAGTGAGAGAGATTAGGTGAAGAAGGGCGCTGTGTGTGCGGGACAGGTGGGAATTTAAAGCAGGGCCCTCAGGGCGGTGTCGATGAATTTCTGGGTATGCGCCAGGGTAGGAATGGGCAGGTCAACGAGCCAGGGGCGTTCGAGAAGCCGTTTCGCTTCGATAATCAGACAGGTCCGGCTCCATCAACTAGCACGCTTTCTCTCTACACCTTGTGCATCTCTCTCCACTCGGCAAAAATTACTTTCACCATTGCCCTCCCTCGCCACCGCACTGGACACGGACAGCTCTGTCCTGGTCGAGAGGCGTGGTACACGGTGCCATCTCCACCGGCATGCGTGTCCAGCACTGCATTCTCTAGCTCCCTCCCGCAACAAGCCAGTCTACATGGGGCCCTGAATTTTCAGCAGATCGCTCTCATCCGTTGGCTTGGCGCGTCGCTAGCCATGAGTATGGCAAGCAGACCGCTTGTTTGTGCCCATCACCACCCGCACTCCAGCGCCTCGCCTAGAGTCGTCGCCCGCAGGTACCAGGTGGATATCTGCCGGGCTTGAACTGGTGGCGATTGTCTGAGTTGGCGCCGAATGAACCCGCTACACTACTGGGTGTGTAGGCTACTACCCCCTACCACGAGCAAAAGCAATGCGCACTCTACGGAGGCCCGCAATGGCTCGAAAACGTTGTGGGCGCACATCGCAAAAAGTCGGAATGCCTCCCACGGATGGTGCAGGCCTCGCTGCAGGGTCTGGGCTAGCGCGCCAGGCACCATTCAACCAGATTGATTCGCCGCAGACCCCGCCGAGGTTCAGCCTTTGCCCTTCGAACGCGTCTCCACACGTGGAGGGGTCCTCTGGGCCACGTCTCGAGCTGCCATCACTTCTGCCATCGCTACCAGACGCCTCTTCACGGCGTGGCATCGCATGACGGGCTCACTGACGCTTATCTATGTACTGCGGCTGTTCAACGGTCGGCTTACATCCTTCGTCGGTCCCAACAAACTATACATCGTCATCTCACACCTAGCTACTGCCCCGTACATGTCCAGGTGCATCGCTTGGCGCTCTCGGTTACGCTAGTCTATCTTATCTTTGCTAGCAGAATCTCGCAAGCCATACCACAACGGTCCTCGAACCACGTCGAATTGGCGTCTAGCGCAGTACTCCTCTTACACCTGTATCACGATACTCAGAACCCATTGCACTCGTTATGCTTTGCTCGCGTTCAAGGTCTCTTGCTGAGACTCACCTCCGTTCGGGCCGTTGTAGCAGGACGTCTCACATCTTTCGCCCCGAACACACTCTGATGATATCAACTTTCTTCTTCTCATCACGAATTTCTTTACAGACTAATCCGGTTCTGGAACTGCGTTCAGCCTTCTCTCGGCCATCTTCGATAAGTGTGGTCGCGCTGTAGCGACTAGCACCTACGTACTCGGGACTTTCACATGCCAACCCCACTACCCCATCACCACCGGCAAGTGGATCACGGAGAATATTGAGCGGAGGATCGCCCCTAAAACACGTTCAACGGCTTTATCGGGCCCCTCAGATCGATCCTGGGACTTGCAACCTTGATCTTGGCGCATACTAGCAAGCGACGAGCTTCAATGGTGATTTCCACATGTTACAAACGTTTTGCTGGGGCGGCGATGATATCAAATGCACCGGGCAGGTCTCGTGCTGGAAATCGATCACTCTAGTCACGGACCCTAAAGGGTTTTTCACGTGTCTCCGAGGTACTCGTCACAATTGGCCACTTACCGCATACGTGGACCTTGAGTGTAGCACTGGGTTCAGGATCAACACAACACATGCTATAGTGAAGCATGCCAACCTAGGAAAAACTTGAACACCCTGGAGCCTACGTTTACGTTGGGTCACACACTTTACAGGTTTTTGTCTTGATGTAGCTCCCAGGCCTGTTCAGGTTTTTTTCTTGTATAAGGTGAAAGCACCATTGTTTATCAGTGTTCATTCCTGGCTTTGGATGTCCTCCTTATACTTCCAAGTGCTGACGAGAAATAGCGGCACACGACTTGCTTCAGCACAATCAAACATGCGGAGATTATGCCTAGATTTGCCTCGGCCAACGTCCAGAGGCCTCGCTCTATAAAATCCCAGGTTTCGTCTCGTTGGTTGCGCACGCTATTAGCAACGGCTGTAGCACGTAGTATTGACGTTATTGTTACACTAATGATACTGTCAGTGCATGTACAGCACATGGTGATGCACACGCAAGATAGCTGTCTATACAAGCAATACTTACAACCCGCCGAGCAAGAATATGCTGTATAGGAGAATCATCTCTTGGGATTTGAGCCGTAGTCCCGAGATTTCCCGGATGGGCAGTGCCAATACGATCACATCTGTCGTAATATTGATCGCGGCGTTTGCGACCCAAAATTCCGAGCTGTCGATGCAGTTTCCTTCGATATCCTTATCCCAGGATCGCTGGATTGGGACGCATTGGAAGATAGTCGCGAAAACAGTGGCAATCCCAGACGCGACAACGATGGAAAGCGCGCAATAACACATCCAACAGAAGTGGCGTGAGATGAGCATGCTTGAACTGAAAATGCGCTTGTACAACAGGATAACGGAGATTTTGTTCAAGCACACCACGACTTTGTATGGTGTCTGCGCGAACCAGAAAAACTTGAGGCACGTCCGCAACTCTTCGATCGAAAGATCAGCCTTGTGTTTGCCATAGCCGTACCCAACAGATATATGAACAAAGGCCGACATCGAAATGGAGAATAGCTAATACGTCTTAGTCAGAACACCAGCGAGCATACACTGGACTTACCAAAGACGCTACGATCGCGTAGTCGTCAGCGCGTAATGCCACATCTCCTCGAAGTCGAACGACAATTCTGGCAACGACCGTGAGGCCAGCGACAATGATCATTACAAGAGATGTCAAGTACAGCTTCCATCCTTGGTTGGCTTCACCATCTGATGGGAAACCCATATTGAACGTCATCTCGTATGGAAGTCCGTATCGCTCGGCAAATTGCTCTGTGCGAAAGACATAACTAAGTCCAAGCCTCGAGCGGACAAGGTCATTATCTGAATGCTTTGTTCTCATCCTTCGGTCTGCAACCAAATGCTTGTGCCGCGGAGCCCACTTTGCCTTTTTCACATCTCTATGTCATGGACCCAACTTTACTGGCTGTAACAACAGCTCATATCGCTATCAGTGGAGAGACATTATCGAATGTGGTGATCTTCGGGTCGGGTGAACCGATCAGTGTTCCTCCGACCCCGGGAAACACATAAGCGACAATCCTTCACACGTCGGCCTCCCGTTTGAGGAAAGGCGTCAAGGAACCTTGTATGCGGCGTAGTTGTACGAGCTGTCCTGCAGGGTAGTTCGGACATAAGGACATCGAAGGCATTTCCAATTATATTCGCGCACGGCAGCAATCGAATCTAAGATTGCGACCAGCGTTCTTATTGCCTCCTGCATCTTAAAGAGCACACAATCCTACGGACACCAATTTTCAGCCGCACCTTTCTGTCGACAATCGCTGCTCTTGTAAGGAGTGATTAGATCAAGATGCATAGTCTTGTAACCCTATCATTGTGGCTATGTGCCATTGAGTTGTCTCTGGCTGCGCCGAAGACATTCTCCTACGAGCACGCGAAGACGGAGAACGGGCAGATCACAGGCCATCGTTCACCCAAAGTCAACGGGGTCTGGGAGTATCTGGGCATCCCATTTGCGCAGCCACCACTTGGTGCTTTACGATTCGCTGCACCTCAGAAATACAAAGGCCAAGATGATTATATTGCTGCCAATTTTGTAAGCATTTACTTGGCGTTACCAACCCATAGGATGCAAATGTGTTGACGATCAGAACAGGGATAGTAGGCGTCTGGTATTGATGCCGCATATATTATTAGGCTGATATTATGCACAGTGGCTGCCCACAACAACCTCCTAGCTGGCCCGAATTTCCTGGATTTACTCCTCAAGCATTGACTGTCCTTGACTCCGGTACGAAATCCCAGAAACAGAGGGCATATCAGTGCAAGACGCCGTAACGATAGCTCGCGAGTTCGTGCATCTTGACACACACACGAAGTACCCTATACTCTATCTATAACTGTGCTAACCGTTCCAAGTACGTTACCATTGATATACAACACTACCCACACCTGCCAATGGGTACTGATTTGAATCCTTGTTTCAGTTTGCTGGTGGTGCTGGAATGCCCACAAGTGAGGACTGCCTTACCTTGAACATCTGGTCGAAGCCAAGCATTAAGTCTGCTAAGGCGAAGAAACCTGTCTATGTTTTCTTTCATGGAGGACGTGAGTCATCATTTGTCCTCCCATCCCCAACGTCCACTTGTCTTACTTGAACAGGCTTCGCTGGTGGCTATACCAACACGCCCTTTGCCAATGGCCAATACCTCGCAAACAACGAGGACATAGTCGTCGTTTCGGTCAACTACCGCCTCAATGTCTTCGGCTTTCCTGGTGCCCCTGATGCAGACACCAACCTAGGATTGCGGGACCAACGTCTCGCAGTGGAATGGCTGCAGAAGAATGTTGCAGCATTTGGCGGAGACGCGAAGAAAATCGTCATCTCTGGCCAATCTTCTGGCGGTGCAGCTGTGGACTGGTGGTCCTATGCGTACAAGGAGAACCCTATGGTCCACGGTCTCATGTCCACATCAGGTAACGTGTTCAGCTTCCCCATGAACACACCAGAAAAGCAACGATCCAACTGGTTCGACATCGTCAATCTAGTAGGCTGTGGCTCATCAAACGACACACTGTCCTGCACGCGCCGTCAACCCTGGGAAGTCCTCTCAAAAGCCGTAACAAGGATCCCTCCCAGCCCAGGCGGCAGTCCAGTCCGTTCAACACCGCCTTTCTACCCCCTCGTCGACAACGAAACCATCTTCTCCGACTACCTCTCCCGATCAGCAGCCGGCGACTTCGCTAAACTGCCTTATTTCCACGGCCACAACGACCACGAACAAGGCTACTACGTCATCCCAGCTTTTGCACAAGGTCGAAATGTGACGGAGGCGCAGGGCGACCAGTTTCTGCTTGAGTCTTTCGTCTGCCCCATCTCTCACGAAGCTAATGCACGCGTCGATGCCGGTGTACCCACGTGGGTCTACCGATACTACGGTGATTGGAACAATACCCGTCTGTATCCTACATCTGGTGCGTATCATGGGACTGAACTGAACATGATTTTTGGTGGCTCTGCGGATGCTAGCGGCCTCCCTCAAACGCAGGCTCAGAAAGACACTGTTAGGTTTGTGCAGCGGGCTGTTGCGGCGTTCACTGAGGATCCGAAGGAAGGACTGACGAAGCTGGGCTGGCCGGTCTTTGATCCGGAGAAGAAGAGTTGGGGTGAGATTGCTGTGGGGAATCGAGCGGAGGTCTCGTTTGCGAGACCAGAGAAATATGATGCGAAGTGCGGGGATGTTGTGTTGGGGTCTTTACAGGGTATGTCGTAAGGGCAGGTAGGGACTGTGCTGTGCAAGCAAATCTCAACAGATCTTCGCATCAGACCTTACGGCCTTGAAGCACAACGTTCCAATCTTCGGCCCGATCAGGCCCTTCATGAAGTCCTCATTGTATTGATGGGGTCACTACTGAATCGGAAAATAGCAGCACCGGAGCAGACCAGCTCGTCCGCTAGTAGCCATCACGTACAGCACAGATAAATGAGGAGGATACGTCGATCTTAGGAGACTTTATTACGTTGCGCATATACAGATGTGGTATTCAAAGCCTGACATGGAGTCAACAAATGACAGTTTCAACGGCATCGTCGTCAGCATGCTCTTGCCTGTGACCAGACTCAAGCACGAAGCCTACAGTCGTGCTCTTAGCGATCTAACATCCAACTTCTTCCAAGCTAAAAACGCAACCAAAGTCACAACACTGATCCGCCCAACAAGTGCCGTGGCAACCGCCCTCCTGACAAGCGGATAATAACCCTCCAACATCGAGTTGACAGCAGCGCCCCTCGCCATCATCTTCGCTCTCCCGCTCTGTCCCCACCCTCTTCCTACACCCAAGCCAGCTATGCCGACCTCGCCGGGCTTCTCTTCCTCCAAAGACCCAAGCGCTTCACTGCCAATGCCGGGGAAGTCTTGTGTAGGCAGTCCTGTCGCATCCTGACTATTCGTCGTTGTTACGCTCGACGCCGCTGTGCTCATTTCCAAGGACTTCTGCTTCCGGAACCGGTATGACATGGCCCACATGACGAACCGTACGTCCCAGTTGGTAAACGTAGGGTATGTCCAGAGCTCCAGCGCGTTGTGTGGTGGCATGTGTTCTAGAAAGTCGCTTACGACGCCCAATGTCAAACCCCATAGCAGTAATGGTGGTCTGCGGTCCTTGGATCTACCCTCAGGGCCTGCCAATGCTTCTCTGATCGTGTTTGTGATACTCTGTGGCGCTGCTTCGACGGGTATGAAGTCGGGGATGGTTGCGCAATGCGTCGAGTTGGCTGGTACGAGTTGTATGGCAGCAAACATCATCTTGCTCAGCATGGCTTGTAGGAACCAGCGCTTGATGCCCAGTTCGGACTTTGCCAGTCGCGCTGAGACATCGGCGTATTCGTGTGTACGGAGAGCTGGTGAGAGAAGGGCGCGAATGGGGACCCAATGTGACGAGGCTACTTCGGTGGGCTGCAGGCGTTGCTGTGGGTAGGCGGGAGAGGTCAGGAGGTAGATGTACGGGCATAGTACCATGAGTCTGCTTGTGGTCAGCCTAGGTTCGGTCGATTATAGTCTCCATGATCCAAGTCTAAATGACGTTGAGTGACGACGTACGGTACTTTGCCCCAGCTCGTCGTAACGATGCGCTGCGGTAGATTGCCGACCGCGATCGCATTGGCAGGGGTCAGATCAATGCCAACCTCTTCGAGCGCTTCTCTAGCTGCTGCTGCCTGGTCGTCCTCATCCTCTGGATCCCTCTTCCCACCTGGCAACGCAACATGTCCGTTCCACTTATCACCGATTCGTGCGGCTCGCTTTATGAAGAGTAGCTCGGGGTCTCCGTGCTTGACCCATTCTTGTGAAAAGAAGGCGCTTAGAGACGACTCAAAGTCGAATTCGGAATGAGGCTGTGCGACAGATGATCGTCTGCGTCGAGGCGGCAAAGGGCTGTCGGAGCTGTCAGGCCAATGCGAGTAGTTTGGTTGTATGCGAAGGATGAGGGCTACAGAAGCGCGTTTAGGCAGGTTTGGCGGACACGCGACATCAGGATAGGGGTTCGCGTTGAGCTCCAGCAGAATGGACTGGAGATGGCTGACGAGGTCTTCGGTACTACTATGCGTTGTCATGATATCTACGGGATCTCAATGCGTTGGTAATGGAAGTACGCGTTCGAAGATGGATGGGTCGGGAGGCCCACGGCAAGTTGGAGAGGGTGGTGACTTGTCGCGGGTACTGCTGTGCATGCAAGTGACACAAAAAAGAAACGCGCGCCGCGATGAGGTATAAATGTCGGAGGACGTGAATCTTGAGATTCACCGATTGATATATGCGTATCGCAACGGAGAACCGAGGCGCGATAATTGACATGGCCATGGCGATTGGCTGCATCGCTCAACTCTGCGTAGAGGAGCTGACGAGCGGTGAGTGGACGCCATGATGGGTACGATACATGGATATGGGAAGATAGGCGATGCACAGCGGGAGCTACGTGTATATCCAGAGAATACGAGCCGTAGTCATCTGGAGTTTGTGTCTCGCAGTCGCATAGCGGAGACGAGCTCTGGCCAATCGGGCTAAAGCCATGGAGGGGCAGGCAAATGAGGTCACTTGTGAGCCCCGCGACGCCAAAAAAACTCCACAGTGTGTCGTGCGCCATTGTTTTGTACCCCAGATCTCTCTGCTTCGATTGACTGCCTCTCTTCAATTGACAACTGAATATTCAAATCATAGTCAACATGGGAGGCCAAAAGACAGGTAAACACACGCTTCCAGTGCCCATGGATTACTCCTAACTCTTTGCGACAGCAATTCTGTCAGTTTATGACAAGACCGGTCTTCTTGACCTGGCCAAGGGACTGCACGAATGCGGTGTCCGGCTGCTGGCCTCGGGCGGCACGGCCAAGATGATCCGCCAGGCCAACTTCCCCGTAGAAGATGTCTCTGCCATCACCAAGGCGCCTGAGATGCTCGGTGGACGCGTCAAGACGCTCCACCCCGCCGTACACGGAGGCATTCTCGCGCGCAACCTCGACTCGGACGACTCAGACCTCTCCGCCAACAGCATCGACAAGATCGACTTCGTCGTATGCAACCTGTACCCCTTCTCCGAGACCGTCGCGCGCATCAACGTTACCATCCCAGAGGCCGTCGAGGAGATCGACATCGGAGGTGTCACCCTTCTTAGGGCCGCCGCGAAGAACCACGCACGCGTCACCATTATCAGCGACCCCAACGATTACCATGACCTCCTTACCGAACTCAAGAAAGACGGCGAGGTCTCAGAGAACAGCAGACAGCGCTACGCGTTGAAGGCTTTCGAGCAGACCTCGTCATACGACACCGCCATCTCCGAGTTCTTCAGGAAGAAGTATGCAGGCGACGGCGACCAGTTCCTTACCCTCCGATACGGCGCAAACCCCCACCAAAAGCCCGCGACCGTCTCGATGCCGGAAAAGTCGCTGCCCTTCAAGGTGCTCTGCGGCTCTCCCGGATACATCAACCTGCTCGATGCGCTCAACGCATGGCCTCTGGTGCAGGAGCTGACCAAGGCGCTCAACTACCCAGCGGCAGCCAGCTTCAAGCACGTTTCGCCTGCGGGCGCGGCTATCGGAGTTCCCCTCAGTGAGGTGGAGCGCAAGGTATACATGGTCGACGACATTGAGGGCATTGAGAAGTCGGGTTTGGCACAGGCCTACGCTAGGGCGCGTGGTGCTGACAGGATGTCAAGTTTCGGCGACATGATTGCCCTGTCCGCTGAGGTCGATGTCCAGACTGCGAAGATCATCAGCCGCGAGGTCTCCGACGGTGTCATTGCACCCGGCTACACCGCCGAAGCTCTGGAGATCCTCAAGAAGAAGAAGGGTGGAAAGTACCTGGTCCTTCAGATGGACCCTGACTACGTCCCAGGCCCCGAGGAGACCAGGACCGTATTCGGCATCACGCTCAAGCAGCACCGCAACGACGCCAAGATCGTTCCTGCCGATACTTTCAACACCGTGATCGTGCCCAAGAACTCTGGAGCTCTTCCGGAGCCTGCCCAGCGCGACTTGACTGTCGCCACCATTGCGCTCAAGTACACCCAGTCCAACAGTGTTTGTTACGCGCTCAATGGCCAGATCGTCGGTCTCGGAGCTGGTCAGCAATGTAAGTTCGACAGATCCTATCTGGTGAGTAACCACTAATTCCTGTACAGCACGCATTCACTGCACTCGCCTGGCTGGTGACAAAGCCGACAACTGGTGGATGCGTTTCCACTCAAAGACGCTAAACCTCAAGTTCAAGAAGGGCACCAAGCGCCCCTCAAAATCCAATGCTATCGACCTCCTGTGCTCTGGTCTCGTCCCTGAGTCAGGCATCGAGCGCGACGATTTCGAGGCCAACTTCGAAGAGGTACCCCAGCCATTTACCGCGGATGAGCGCAAAGAGTGGCTCTCCAAGATGGAGAGCGTTGCCGTCAGCTCCGATGCCTTCTTCCCCTTCATCGACAACGTCTTTAGGGCGCACCGAAGTGGTGCCAAGTACATTGCTGCGCCCACAGGAAGCCAGAACGATGGCGCCGTCTTCGAGACGGCTGAGAAGCTGGGTATCACCTTTGTTGAGCAGCACATCCGGTTGTTCCACCACTAAGAAGTTGGTGTGAGAGATGAAGATGATACTTGCTGATGACTTTAACGTGCATTGAAGCTGGCGAGATGACCAGTCTAAATGAGATGAGATTACGATACCTTCAAAATGTGGATACTTCAACCTCCAACTCGACCGTCAGTAAATTGTGATCTATTGAGTGGCACGGCCTACTCCTTGCCCTGAAAGGCCCTTCAGAGTGCTCCCATCCTGCTGCCATCCTGCTGCGCGGGCATCAGTCTCTCCGCGAGAGGAACATGTGATAGCAAAGTGCTGAGCTCGACACAGCTGCAAGTATCACCATAGTGGTGCAGAACCGCGTGCTTCTTGAATATTCAACGTAATCCGTGTTGCCGCAACGGCAGACATGCTGGCGGCACTGCAGCAGCTAGAAAGCGGTCGGACGGCCTTCGTAATGATACATCGTTGGAGAATCGGACGATGTATGCGACGTAGCGTGAGGTATTGGTGCGACACGTACACGATCGCAGTCCTAAAAGCGCCTGCTTCAGTCGCATTATAACCTCATCTGACCCTCCCTACGCCCGTTATCTTATCCTCCACCATCTTCATCAAGACATCCTTATCCTTAACAGCCTTCACCCTCTCCCCCTCCAGATCTTCCAGCTGCCTCTCTAACTCCTTCATCCTATCCACCTGCTCCC